TTAAATTTAAAAAATGTATTTAAATTAAAGAAGAAGCACACACAAAGTCTGTCAAAAATTAAAGTAACATTTTTATATTTTACATATATAAATTATGTTTTATATTTTATAAATAAAAATAAAAAATATTCAATAGTAAAAATATATGAAATAAAAAAAAATATATAAAATAATATTTTAAAAATTAATTAGGATGAGCAAAATATTTATTATTATTATTTTATTTATTGTTTTGTTTTATTTGATTTTTAAATAAAGAATATATAAAATAATATTTAATAATAATATTTATATTTATATTTAATAAATAATATTTAATAATATAAAGTAAAATAAATTTAATAAATATTATTTTACTTATATTTTAGTTTTACTTAAATTTTAATGCAAAATTAAACATTTTATAAAATTATATTTTATAATATTAATTTATTTATATATTATTTTTATTTAATTTATTTTTTTTTTAAATTAAATTATGATTAATTTTTTTTATTTGGTTGCAAATTGATTTTTTGCATATTTTAAGTTTTCTCCTTGATTTTGTCACGTGTATTTTGTGGCAGACATGACTGCTGCGGCTTGCCACATTTCACGATGAGATGCTGTGGCTGTGGCATGCCTCAGCTATGCCGACGGCTTCTGCATTGCCTATAGCTAAAAGCAACATTGCTGTTGTTGTTGTTGTTGTTGCTGTTGCTGGGCTACTCGTATTTTTCACATTTTTAGCTTAATTGCATTGGCTGGCCGCACGTTCCACGGGCTATTGCTGCCACCCCATGGCTCCCTCCACGCGCACCCAATTGTTTGGCTTTGCCTCACGTGCAACAGCAGCCAAAGCAACTGGTATTTCAGCAGCCAAGTAGCTAATAGCTGCAACAGACAGAGAGGGAGCGAATGCCTTCAGTTGGGGGCGCTTGGGCCGTTTGGGGGCAAGTGTGGCAGGTGTGGCAAGCTGTTTGCCTGCTTGCAGGTGTTTGACTGTGTTTGTGTTTGGGCTTGTTAAAGTTTAAGATTGTTTGATATTGTCTACTTGCTGCTGTTGCAACGTGTTGTTGCAACGAGCGCTTTGGCGCTAAGCGACATGTTTCAATTATGATTGTTGGCGTGTTTTATTAATTACGTAGCAGCTATGCTCTGCGCTAGGCCATTTAGCTAAGCATTTAGTACATCAGTACGCCAGTCACGCCCACGAGCAAACGCAACCGCCCACTTTTGGATATGCCAAATGAGTCTTAGGACAATTTAAGCAGCTACCCAGGCAAGGCTATATATAGGGTATATTTATACATGTATATATGTATATATATCGATATGTGTTATGATATGCCCCTATGCTAAACAGAATCAAAGAATCGTCATCTTAAGCGCGTCAACGGAGCAATCTAACTGATTGCTTACAAATGAATCTCAATTAAAATTAATTCAAAAATAACATGAACTGGGCATTATTTACCCGTTTGACACTGTGTGTGTGCATGTGTGTGTAAAGCGTGTTAGATATATGTGCCACGCCACAGATTGACATACATCTGCTGCTCGATCAACTATGGCATTCATGACATTGCCAGCAACAGTCGACGACGACGATCCGAAGTTGAGTTAAAGAAAAGGCAGAGACCAACACACACGCACACACACACACATACATATACATATATGGTATCAGCATCAATTAATTTGGTATTCGTGATTCTACTTAACATCGATTGACCCTAACAGATTAGTGGCACCAAAGAGTGTATGTATATATAGTTGGTAGCTGAACATTCTTGAGTAGGTCGAGCGCAAAAACTTGACAATTTGCTTTAATTTATTTGCTCGCTTTTCACGATTTTCATGCCAGATATATATATGTGTATATCTGTTAATTGCCCAATGCCAGCTTTTGTGGGCGCCTTCGACTATCTTAAAGCTTAATTGGTGCGATTGAATTAAAATCGTTTGCAGCCACTTGTTGGCTAACTATATAGATGCCTGCCCTGCCCCTCACCTACCTCTCTCTCTCTCTCTCTGTGGCGACCCTCTCTCTTACTCCTCCTGGTGTCGATTAGTTGCTCACAGATCACTTGATTGCTCTGATATTTGCTTAAATGATTGATCAATGAGACAATTGTTATGATGCGACAATCTCTCGAGACTCTCGTGGCGACACTTTTTTTAGCATTTGCATGTTTGAAAACGTGCACTGTGTGTGTGTGTGTGTGTGTGTGTGTGCTTGAGATCGTCAAGCGTCGATCGTTGGGCAATCAGTGCGACATTCGCGTTATTGAATGTGGCATTATTGATTGATAAATAAATATATATCTAGCATATAATATAGGCACTGATTGTGCACTAATTTCCATGCATGTATTCAGTTATATATATATATATTTATATAGATGTCAGGCGCTTATATAACGCATTTGCAAACTCGCGAAGAACTTGGTTCTAAGGCAGGTGACAGGTTCTCCTTAAGTAGAGCAGCTCAAAACTAGGCAAAAACAAAAACTTGTTTAAAATTTGTAAATATATTTTATTTGACAGTTGCAAATATTTTTAGCAAAAAATATATTCACACATTTTTCTGAATTTTTATATGAATATTCAGATAGTTATCTAATATATTTAGATATTTTTCAGAACTTTATAAGCCAATTTTATTGTATAACATTTTTGTATATCTTATCTTATCTGAGCTTTAATAGTTTAAGAACTTTAAAATGTTCTAGATATTTTTATAGCTTCAAATATTATTTACTTTTCAAATATAATTTTTTTTAGAATTGTTTTATCAAAACATTATTAGCTAGAAATTGATTAGAAATTGATTTTCAATGATAAGCTAAAAATATACTCATTAAAATAATTTCATAAAAATTTTCAGGGTATTTACTAGCCGCGCTTGCCCACTTTGTGGCAACACTCTCTTGAATTTGTCACAACAACATTCCCAGATCATTTTGAAATGACTCGCAAAGAAAGTGTCCTGTCAACTGTGTTTTACTTTTAGGGGTTGGCAGCTATTTTCGTTTGATCCTTTTGATCCTGAGAAGTCAAGTCAACATAATAAATTTAGCGGCTGCTCATTCGGGCCTGACAAAATGTGTCCCTCTGCCTGTTTTTATTTCTAACTTGTATAAATGCTAACCTATTTAATTGACTTATAATTGGAGAAGCCCAAGCCGACAGAGAGAGAGAGCGAGCGAGAAGCTGACTTGAGCAGCATGTGTGTAACTAATAATTTTGGTTGCAAGGAATTCCTCAAGCGCAACAGAGTCAAATTTGTGAGAGGGCGAGTCTGGTGGCCCATGGACCCTCGAATGAGCTGCCTCTGCCAGGATCACAATCACATGTGAAAAGTTAGCGACCAGAAAAAGTTACAGTTGAACGAGTTTTCAGTTTTCTGTTTTCAGTTTTCGCTTTCGCCCGCAGCTAACGCAAATGAAACAAAGGGGAAATGAAAATAATGCCTAGCATATATAGAGAGAGAGAGTAGACTAGATATATAAATATATATCTTCCGACTAGGGTGCAATTTATGCCGCCCGCCATGTTGAACTTGAAATTGTAATTGGCATTGGCAAGGGCACCTACATATGCCACAGTTGACAACTCGGCACAGGTATATTGCAACCACCTTGCTGTCGTGTGTGTGTGTGTGTGTGTGTGTGTCTGCCCTTTTCCTGTTCCACTGTACGCCCTTAAGCTGTGCCCACTGTCAGCTGTTGTTCGTTTGGCTCTGTTTAAACGGTATTAAAAAACGTATTGAGACCAAATGTCGAATGTTGAGCAGGCTCTGCAAAAGTAGACTTTCGTTTGAGGCGCAAGAGTTACGAATCGTTGAGGACTGAGTTGGGATAGTAATTAGGTATAGCGAGATGAGTTAATAAGTAGTTAGTTTTTGCTTAGGCTCACAATGCGCGAGGGAAGTTTGAAAACTTTTGTATTAGTGTCAAGTTAATAGCGCGCTGTCTATCTGCGTGTTCAACAGTATATCAATTAAGATCTCTAGAAACTTGATATATAATATTTTTTTTTAAATTTTTCTGAAATCGATAATCATTTATATTTGACGTTAGTCATCTCATATATTTTTAGATCAAAAACCACCAACATTTTCGTATAGTTGAAGCAAGCAACAAGCTTTGGTTTTTTTTAATATTATTTTTTAATTATTTGAATATTTTTCTGAATTTCCATTTGTATCAATTTGATAAAAAATTAAAAACAAATACGTATTTTACAATATTTTATTTTTATTTTTATTTTTATTTATTATAAAGGAAACTCAATATTTGTATAAGTTCTAAAAATGTATTTAAGTACTAGAATAAATTCTATAAATATTAAAAATTATATTTAGTTGGCAAAAAAGTTATTAATATTTTTTAAAAATTATTTTTAATTTTTGTTTACTGAAATTTTAATATATATTAATAAATTAGTTGCTAATACTTAAACACTTTTTTTTGCATATTCAAAACAGCTTTAGGCTTTCCTCAGCACTTCAAACTCTTACTAAACAACGTAATTTAATATTAGTTTAAATTTCATATAACCTTTTCAAGTTCATGGCATTGCAATATAATTGTCGAATCATTAGCCTAGTTTTTGTTGTACTCTTTCGTGTTGATAATATATACCCTACGATTCGCTGTTTGACTGGGACGTGTTGTGACAAAGTGTTAAGTTAATAATTTGCCAGACTGAGCGTCTGCTTATAATTGAAAAATGCCAGCAGACATTGCGCTATGGCACGAGAGAGCTTTATTAATTTTTGTATTTAAAACATTTCAAGCACTCGACACCTTCTGTAGCAGCAGTAACAGTGGCTGCTGCAGTTGCTGCTGTGCCAGTAGCCGTAGAACCAGTAGCAATGATCTCAAATTAATGCCCAGCGAGTAGAAATAATGAGCCAGCAGATGCCTACAGATGGAGCTGCAGTAGCGATAGGGAGGGGGCTGGGGGCTGGGGGGCCTCGCTCTGCAATTGGGTAGCATAATCAAGGCTTGGACATGGACATGGACATGGACATGAACATGAACATGAAGATGGACAAGGGCATGCCAGGCAGGCAGCCAGCCAGGCAGCTTGTCGATTGGGCCAGCTCGTCGCTGGCAGCAGCAGCAGCAGCCTTTATGATTATTGTTATTATTGAGTGTATTGGCCGGCAATTCAGGGCAAGACATCATTAATGCAGCCAAGCAGCATTACCAAAAACCCCGGCACTAAAATAAAATCGAATGAAATATAATTAAATGTCGCTGCAGCTCCTGCTGCTGCGTAATTTGGTAAACATTCTTTTGGCTGGCTATCGGGCAGCAGATCGCATACCAAAAGATGTGTTCAAGCATTTTGTCAACCGGTTTGCCTCTCTCTCTCTCTCTCTCTCGCTCTGTGTCTCTTTGACTCTTTTGCTTATCTGCGGCTTTGTGGCATCTTTAAATGGCGTTTTTTTCGCACTCACAGAGCCTAAGAGAGCAAGAGCGGCGCGGGCGGGCGAACATTGAAGCCTGATCGAAAGAAAACGCACGCTGATTTTTAATTATCTTTGCACGATGTTCGCCATCGCGTCCCAAAAAGTAGTTGCTTTGGCAATCAGCAAGCTGGGCCTTTCGTCACTTCAATATTGAAACACTTAATCACAATTTCGTTAAGGGCATGCCAAGGAGCTGGGAGCTGGGAGCTGGAAGCTGGGACTTGGCTTGGCTGGCATATGCACATAAATGGCAAATGTTAAGAAATTCCAAATATCTCATACAAATTACCAAAAGGCAAAGCTGACAGCAAAACAGAAACTGAAACTCTGTACTGAAATGATATTTTGCGCCCCAAAAGCCAAATGCCGCATACCCATGCCCCAAAAAGCTGCCATCGATGCGATTGCGATGCGAAGGTCTGGGTTGACCGCTTGGGAATTTTTGCTGGCTGGCTGGCTGGCTCAAGATGATGATGACAAAGAGACGATCATCGGTGGCGCGTCGTTTGCCAACGTTGATAATTAATAACAGACAGAGTACAACAACAGTTGATAGCATAAAAACGGGCCAACACCCAATCACAAAAAGCGCATGCTACAGCCGCAAAAGGCCAAAACCAGCCAGCCAATGGTATTGGTATTGCGAAGATCGTGCCGGCCCATTGGCCACAAAAAAATACAAAAAAGAAACCAGCAAACTAAAAAGTAAACCAGAGCCAGACAAGTCTAAAGCAGACATAATCTCAGACAAGCTGGAATGTCAATGGAACTGGTAGCTGTTCGACTGCGACTGGAAACTTGTACGCGACAGCGATTAAGATCACAAGATTCAACGATCGTTCGCTGCTCAACGATCGACGATCGACGATCGACGATCAACGAACGCCGATCAACGCCTACTCCAACTGACAGACAACACGACAGCAACACGTTAAGTGACAGTGACAACTGTGCAATTAGAATTCATGTTAGCTATGACAACTAATTGAGGAACCCACACGATCAGACACAGATCAGCTGCTGTGTGCTTAGCTAGTGTTAGCTCTATAGCCTTGAGCATACGAGTGCTCACAATGTTTGTTATGATAATTGATTAAAAGAAAATAAATGTCTTGCTAAGCCAGTCATACGATCAGATGATCACACGATCGCTCACAACTAGATCAGTTTATCTGCGCATTCCATATAAACTATTAGCCAAGATCACATTTGTTAGCTGTTTGCAGAGGCACGAGCATGGCTTATCTCTTCCTGGAGTAGCTATGCTAACTGTTGAAAAGCTAGACTGTCACAAGATCAAATTATCATTAGCATAGATCTCATTTCCCCGTTTTGATCATCAAAGATAACTCAAGCTTCAGTTCACAAAGTTAGTTACTTTTACCTTTAGCTTTGATCAGAATAGGTTTTATACCAAATAACTATTTTTATGCACTCCATCACACGATCTTCTGCTTGTGAGATCATCTAAAAACTACCATAGATGCGGGTACAATGTAATGAAGTCTTAGTCATTGATAGAATTCATAATTCTAATCAAGTGATTATAAGATCAAAAGAAACTGAGTCGATAGCAATAGCTTAGCTCAGCATATGGCGGCTCACATTCACTGAGAGCTTGAAAGATCAGCTACAATTCTAATAGATCAGCTTTTTCTATAATGTAGAAAAGCTGTAGTAGATCAGTAGACCGCGGACGCTCACTTAGCTTACGGCTAGGTGCACGATCTGCAATTTAATTGATCACTGAGGATTGCTTTAACTGGAAATCTAATAAGAATTAAGAAGAAAGTAGCAGTAGATCAGTGGATAGGGTAAGTCTGATTAACAGTTTTAAACATGCGATCGCAATATTAAAAGATTGTCTCTTAATTATCCTTAGAGCACACACAAGATCAGTTGAGCAGTTGATCAATATAGTTGAATCACTTAATCAATATTCAACTGGCCAGATCAAGTGATCAACATAAGATCCATAATATTTTATGGATAGTCTTCCGGACAAGAACTCTCGGATAAAAACTTTAGGCTAATCTACCCGAAAACCCCGCGAACTACGAGCAACTTGTCCGTGTCCGATCAGTTCGCTGATTCGCAATTTGTAATTCAGAATTCACATCACGCAACAGTCGCTTGAAAACTGATTAAATGACACAAAAACAATTAATGCCTATGGCTGGTAAATCAAATGATATTGCCAAGGACAAGGACAAGCTGGCAAGCTGGCCAGCGCCATGGTGCCTGAGTCGAACGATTTATAGCCCAATGGAATGTGCCACGATGTGCACAAAGGATCAGAGAGGGAGATGAAAATCGCCAACGATAATAAAAAACAATTTAGCGGGACGCAGCGGGGAAAAACTGCTGCTACTGTTGCTGCTGCTGCTGCTGCTGCGGCTGTTGCTACTGCAGATGATTAAAACACATTAAAAGTCCAGCAGCAAGAAGCAACAAAAGTCAAGAAGACGCTGCAGCAGCCAAAGCTGAAGACTTCAGTTGAAAGACTAAAATTTCAGTTTTCAGTTTGCAGTTTGACGACGCGACGTTGCCCAACTAATTTCATATTTTTCATGCAATTGCTCAAATTCCGTAGCGCCCAAAATGTGCGACGTCTCTGCGTGTGTGTGCGTGTGTGTGTGTCGCAATCAGATACAGCTTGTCCGTCCAGCTCTTTGATGGTTGGGGACTACCTGTTGCGACGTGTTATTAGGGCGACGTATTGACGACAAGCAAACGTCAACCCAAACGTCAGCTCATCATATCCAACGATTGATGCGAGAGTCCTACTGACTGCCGCTGATGCCCCCTTGCCCCTGCCCCCTTTTTAACAGCACATTTTTTTCTGTTTTGGAATTTTAGCCCAAAAAGAGGAAAGCAAAAAAAATCCTGCCGAGTCCCCTACTAATTTTTGGTCAGGTCCAGGTTTTGCGAGGTGGTGATATTTGCTCCACTGCAAGCTCAGTTTGTCTGGCTGCTAGCTGCCGCGACGCGTTGTGATTTTGCGCTTTAATGAGGATTATTAAATGCGAGATTATTATGTGCTGCAATTACTTTTCCAGCAGCCACTGTATGGCGGGATGATGTTGCCTTTGCCTTCGCCTGCTGCCTGCTGCCGGCTGCTTGCCTCGAACGCTGCTTGATTTATTTTATTGAACCATAAAAATGTAAATTTTTTGATTCTTTCGCACAAAAGACAAAGTTAAACGTTGTCAATTATGGCCTTTGACAGGTTAATATTAAAAGAAGAAGCAGAGGAACCTGTGCAGATCTGGAGCAAACGATAGCAATGCTGCTTATAGTAGACTAACTCAAAGATTAGCATATTATGGATCAGCTGAACAGGCTCAGGCTGTCCCTTATATATATAAATATATATATATATATATATAGATCTCTTACATTGTCTGTTAGCCGCTGGCAAAACAGTTTCCGGCTGTGCCCCAGCGCCAACTGAGTGAGCGAGAGGGGAGCACCTCTACCTCTATTAACATAATCACAACACGGAGAGTCTTTCGTCTTGTACCCAAAAATTACGCAGAGCGAGATCAATTTTAGGTGGAGACCGCATCACTGCAGGGCGATCAATTAAAATTTTGATCGAATTTTCGTCAATTTTTTGACATGTGGCCAACAGAAGCCAACAATGGGGCGTGGCATCGAACGCAGTCGCAGTCAAAGTCGCAGCCAAAGTCGTAATATGCAGTCCATGCACAAAAGATCAATGTAAGCCTGAAAATTGTCGGCGGTTGCCTAAGGCTAAAAGTTGCAGAAGCTCTCCTTGCTATAGTCTTCAGTCTGTAGTCTCGCATCTCGAGTCTCGACTCTTCAGTCTCTGCTCTGAATGAAATTGATTAAAGCGTAAATGAATTTTGCGTTGGCTTCTTCAGGCTCGCCTCTGACGATGATTATAACACAAGATCGATGGCTGCTGTCGCTGATCGCTAACTCGATGCGGCTACTGTAGAAAGCAGACGCCGTCGATCGTCGCTGTTCACTTGATGACGTTGCGTCTGAGGCTGTGGCTACTGCCACATAGTAGCTGCCTCTTATTAAATTCCATAGCAACTTTATACCCTGCAAATATATTTTAAGCATATTAAAAACTGTGCCATCAGGCCCAGCATAGGAAAGCAAAGAATGATGAAGATATACAATAATAATATAATAATAATTTAATTTATGTATAAATTTAATATATGGAAACTATATGCTTCCAGTATTCCCTTTAGAGTAAATACTCTTCTAATGAAAAGAAAATTAAATCTGTTTTTATACATTAAAATTTTCTTAGATTTTTACACAAGCTGAAATTAAATTTTATTTAATTTAAATAAATGTTTATTTATATAATAAAAATATAGTTTGAAGTAAACTATTTTTTATGAAGAAAATTTGACATACTTATTAAATACAAAATTAATACAAATTGAATCTCTAAATGTACTTTAATAGAATTTTTATATAATGTTTAAATTTTCTTATATTCTTTTCAAAATTTGTTGTTTCTTTTTTAATTATAATTATTATTATTTTGTGTTTAGATTTTTAGTTAGGATAACTCGTAGTCGATCTTCTACAATAATTGCCATAAATTTTTTGGCAACGATTTTTTTATTGTTTTCTTTTGCTTTGTCTGGCATTTGACAAACTAGCCAGAGGCAAGCGAAACGCAGGAGCTGCAGCAGCCCAAAAAGAGGTTCTGGTTTAGGGTACGGCATCGGCTCGATTTAAGTTTATCCGCACGATCAGCGCAACAGCGATCAGTGATCCATAATTTGTAAAGGAAACAACAAAAAATCGAATTCTGTGCGTAGAAATTCCTTGCGTGCCAGCAGAAGATCAGACCAAACGGTAAACGGTAGCTAAGCTATAATTGAGGTTGTCTCCTCTCGATTTCCATGTGCCAAATGCAGCTCTTATTTATTAATAGTCTCATATTGAAAAGCTTCGACTGATCGAGGCAAAAAAAGAAGTAAAATAAAGGCCAAGTCTAATGGCCGAAGAGAGCGAACACGTTGGCCAGAAGAAACATTAGTTTAGTTACGCTCCGCTGAGCGCCACAACTGTCTTGGCTATATACTATATATATATATAAACATTTTTTTAAAGCCTCGCGTCATTAAAGACAATTTCGTGATTCGCCAAATTACCTGGCCAAATTATAGAAAGCAAACAAACGAGCTGCAAATCAATAGAAATCAACGCCTGTCAGGCAATGAGACTCTTCTCGAGCCATCGAGTGCCAGCTTCGATGAGAGCTGCGGCCCATTGTGAACTTAATCAATATACAATAAAATAAGAAGAAAAGCAGAAGAAATAATGTATTTGGGCTGTTTATGTTGGCGCTCAAAGTGAAATTCGTGCATTGTAAACGCCTCCACACTTAGCTAAACAAATAAACAGAATCGAGACTCATTTCTCTTCCCTCTTCGTCTCTTCCATGCACAGAGTCAGGCTTTGGCTCTGACACGGGCGGCCAATGCGGCAGCTGTGGTGGCTGCTGCCAATGTCAAATCGCCATCGGCTGCTGCTAGCCTCATGGACATGGCCGTCAAGAAGGAGCATTCACTGTCGCCGACACACAGCGTCCTCCCCGAGGACTCCAGCGTTGGCGTTGCCCTTGGCCAGCTACAGCACAGACGCAGCTCGCTGCAGGGAGTGCAGGAGAAGTTGACACAGCTGCAGATGCAGCATCAGCAGCATCAACAGCAGCAGCAGCAGCAGCAACAACAGCAGCAACAACAGCAGCAACAGCAGCAGCAGCAACAGGCTGCAGCAGAGACAACAAATGCCGCCGGGCGACGTTCCACAGAGGGCAGTCCGCCGGCTCTGGGCTTGCTGCCCCATCAGCACCAGCACCAACAGCAGCAGCAACAGCAGCAGCAACAATCACAGCAGCTGCTGCTGAACACCGAGTCTGGCAGCGGCAACGCGTTGTCCTCCTCTGCGGGCTCTAGTCAAAATGCCTCCTTAGCGGCGACACCCAAGAGCGAAAGAGAACGCGAACGCGAACGCGAACGTGAGCGTGAGGAGCGCGGCAGCATCTCCTGCTTACCGCCCGCTGCGCTGGGCATGGCTGTGGGCGTGCAGGCGCAGCAGCAAGCCGAGAAGCTGCTCAGTCATCCAGCACTGGAAGCTCGACGAGATTTCGATGTCAGCAAAGTAAATCGTGAGTAACTAAGCAATTTTTATAAATCTAGTTAAAAATAAGTTAAAGCTAAGGTGTGCCGAAAAGGGAGGCTTAAGTAGAGTAGGTGAGAAAGAGAGGGAGATGCGTAGAGTAAAACTGGTAGAAGGGCGAGCCAGAGAGAGAAACACAGAAAGAAACGAAAAAAGAGAATTTATAGAAAAGAAATCGGAGATGGGAATATACAAATATAGAAAAGTACTTGAAGACTTGGTTAGAGTGCTTGAGTTATGATAGAGAGAGAGAGGCAAAATATAAGGTGAAGGGCGAGAGACAGAGATAGGTGGGAGACAGAGCCAGAGGAGAGCGTAAAAGATTGAGAAGAACAAAAATTTTGAGTAGGAAATATAATTAATAGATGCCCGAAGAAAAAGAAATATAGGAAGAGAGAGAGAGAGAAAGAGAGAGAGAGAGAGAGAGAGAGAGGAAGATATAGGGAATGAACGAAAGTGATTTAAAAACATATTAAGAGAGAGAGTAAGAAAGAACACAATATATAAAGGCGCAAGATAAGAAGAGAGAAAGAGAAAGGCAAGAGAAAGATATATATATATATATATATATATATATATATATAGATATATAGATACATAATGACCATGAAAGGAAGAGACAAAGTGTATGTCTATGTTAAGTATAGAAAGATAGATAGAAAATTAGGAAAGTAACTAATATGATATTTATTAATGATAGACAAATCATCACATGCCTTAAAAATCATTTTAAAAATCTTGAAATTTACATAAATTTGCTTAAATATTTTCGCAAAGAATTTGGTTTTTAACCAAACCAACTTTAAAACCAGTTAACAAATATTAAATATGTCGTGAAAGCATCAATTTCTTAGTGAAAAGCCCCGCCATGAATAACTTTATATGCGCCAAATTGCATATTAATTTTATGGTATATATGCAGTTAATTAAATTTAGTAAATTTCACGCTACTAAATTGAAATTTCACGCCAATCGCTTAAATATTTTAGAAGCCCACAAAACTGATTAAGGGCTCTAATTGCAATCGAATTCGGGGAGTCGAAATTGTTGCATAAATCACACATAAATCCGAAAGCGAAACTAAATCCCAACTAAAGAAATTGAGGAGTTGGGGTCGATCGCTTTGCTATTTCTGTACCAATGCACAAATACCCTTAATCCGGGGCAGTGTATCAACAGCAGCGGCAGCAGCAGCAGCAGCCTCTGTGGAACGTTCAATAGTAGAGGCAAACCACATCATTATAAAAATGCCAGCCTCACAAACTGATGATTATTTGTGTGTGTGTGCCCCATGTTGCATGGCAGCTTTAAGGATTTGTGCAACTTTAACCAGGTTATAAGCAGACATAGTATATATATCTATATAAGTATATATATATATGTCTCTCTATATATATAGACATCCGCTTGCTTGTTGTCGCATCTTTGAGAGTGGCCCTGCTGCGGTAATCTTGTTTAGTTCATCAATACTAGTTTAGCCATGGACAAAGCGTGTATCTTTGTCACATTCACAAAACATATATATACATATACATACATATATATCTACAGTTGCAGCTACAGCTACAGTTGCTTGGTAGCTGTTGTATTTGTCAGATAGATTGTCGCTTGCCGAATCTAAAATCCTTTTGCATACCAATACAAACACACGTCTGTTCGATAGCTCCCATTCAAATTTCAGGCACACACACACACACACACTTATGCAGCACACACTCATCGCATATGCATCCAAATCCCCTGGATTAAGCATATGAAGCATTCATAACGTTTATTTTACCTTCCATCTGGCATTCGCACTGCCACTGCCTCTGCCTCTCGCATTCTTTCACTCTCTCTCTCGCACTTTCTGTCTCTTGTGTGCAAACAAACATTCGTTTTGCTTTCGCTGTGGTTGCAGAGAGCACGAAGGGACACACACTTACACCCCCCAAATACACACACACACTCGTAGCACGCTCGTTTGGTCTGTTGCGTCAACACACACTTGTGGAGCTATTTGGGCCATGCGGCTGTAGCTGTGGCCAATGCAGGATAACAGCTACAACAACAACTACAACAACAACAAGCTGCCAGCAGCATTTGTGTAGGCGCATTTGAGTTGATTCCTTGGCTGTTACTGCCGGCACTCGCGGCGTATACGCAACGCTTTCGCGTTGCTCTTTTTTTGTTGCTCCGCATTGAGCTCTGAGCTCTGCGTTGTGAGCTCAACAGGTTGCTTTTGGTATTATGTCCAATTTATGGCATCTCTGTGCTGCCTGTAAGTTTTCAATTGCCACACGCGCTGCCGTCTGCTCTTCACACAGTGTCTGCCTTATGTCTGTGTCTGTCTATGATAGATTGAAGGGAAACCTGAATGTCTTTGGGGTCTTTAGCTAAAGAAGAAAATATGTGAATATATGTTATATATAATATATACAAATTATAAAGTGAAAGAACTGAAATGTTCATTAAAAAATACACATATTTAATATATTATATATTCCATATTTTCTTACAAGACTTTCAGTTTGTTATTTTTATATATATAAAGCTTTAATTTTTATTGAAAAATAAAAAATTTATGGTAACATTTTTTGGGGAATTTGGAGAAATACAAATTTTTTTAGTATTTTGAATATACATTTTTTTTTATTTTTAATTTTTGAAATTTTTTTTATTTCTATTTCTTTATACATTATTTTTATTTTTAATTTAATACATTTTCTTTTATTTTAAGGGGTTTTTTAAATATTTTTTCTTTATTTTGCATATATATATATTTTTTTTATTTATTATTTTCGGAGTCTTTAGATTTTAATAAATAAATACACTTTTTCTTACACTATATTTCCAATTATGCAAATATTTTTAAATATATTTTAATACAGCTTATTTTGCGTATTTTGAATTTTAAAAATTTTTTTATTTTTAATTTTTGAAATTTTTTTTATTTCTATTTTTTTTTATTTTTAATTTAATATATTTTATTTTGTTTTAAGGGGTTTTTTAAATATTTTTTATTTTTATATGCATATATACATTTTTTTTGATTTATTATTTTCGGAGTCCTTAGATTTTAATAAATAAATACATAAATAAATACACTTTTTCATAGACAATATAAACCAATTATTCAAATATATTTTAATATATTTTTATACAGCTTATCTATAGTCATATTGATCTTGTGTGAATTATTTACTGATCTAGTCTTCTACAATCTTTTTTATAATTTTTTTTCCATCATTAAATGTTCCTTCAACTGAAAAGTTCTAGAATTAACGCTATTCGACTTTTTCCATATATTAACAGAATTTCCAAATTTCTGTATATATATTATCTATAGCATATATATGACATATCTCCCTGCATAAGGTTGTGCTGCATTTACATTGAGAGCAAGTTCCGATTAGAGCCGAAAACTTTGCTGTTGTGTGCTGCTTGATTGTCCCTGTTGCTGTTAAGCTGCTGGCTAAATCGTTTTGCCTCTGCCCGAATTGAAAGGCAGCCAACCCAAAACTGGGAGGTTGGACTTATAAGAGGCGGGAAGAGGGCGGCGGGCGGGGCTCAGGTGGGTAGCATGTGCATGATAGTTGGGATAGAAACGTGCGTTAGATTTGAATTTTGTTTGAATTTGTGAATGGCTCAATACAATATGCATGTATGTGTGTGACTGTGTGTGTGTGTGTGTGTGTGTGTGTGTGTAATGTGTTTTGTAGTGTATTTTGAGGATTTGCACAGCAAAACGGCATCAAGCGAATATGCGAGAATGGAAAGGTTATTGTATCCTTGTTGCTGTTGTTGCTATTGTTGCTGCTGTTGCTGTTGTTGTTATTATTGTCATTTAACATTTCCTTGCCATGCGTTTTGCAATCGTATGTATGTATATATGTCTCTCTAGCACTGTTTATATGTAAATCTGTCTGTTTGTTTTCGTTTGCGTATGTTTATTATGCCTAAGCTGCTCAACGACGCAACACGATATTTATCCACCCACTCGCACCCAGCCACCCCGGGCACCCAGGCCACCCAACCAATATACCCACGTCTATATAACAGTTTTGCAAATGAAGCTGTTTTTGCATTTTTGGGCAATTTTTATTTGTCGCATACGATTCGATTTATGCAGCGTTTAGTATGCAAAATTTTCATACGTTAGCCTTAATAAATCCCCCAACGGCCGCACTTGTCAATATGCAGGCAGGCCGCACCCACCCACACACCCAGCCATACACACAGCTGTGTCAGTGGCACCTATAAGCTTATGCACACACATACACACACGTGCCGCACACACACACACACACACGTAGCTGTGTGTCGCGTTCTGCAATTGAAAATCACTGCGCCTTAGTTAACGACACGTTTGTGGATCAACGCGTTCACCAGAGCAGCTCCCCACCCCCTCTCCTACTCCTACTCCGTTGGCTTTCCTCTCGCTTTCTCACTCGCTCTTTGCCATAGCTCCTCATAGCCTCCAATTGACCTCCGCTCGACCATTGTTGTTTGGGCAGAGCTTTGTGCAGTGCAGTTGCCAGGGTCAGCGTACATTTGTTGAAGCTGCAACAGCAGCAGCAGCGACAGCATCTGTCATAAGCCAGGCGGCTCTTTCTCTCTGTATACATAAGCACATACTCAGGATTCAAAAATGCGCGACTCACATTATGCATATTCCAAACGGATCGTGAAATGGGTGTGTGTTGGGTTGGCTCTTTCAGTTCGTTTCAATTTAAATTTGATGCCGCACAATTGATGAAAGGAAATTTAACTTGTGAACCACAGATCAAAATTCATGATCTCTAAGTAATGTAAGCAGCAATCGAATGGTTCAAGAAAACGATTTGAAATCGTGTTTAAATGCAATTTGAATTTAATTCCCAAAAAGTATTTAAATTGATGCAAACTAAAATTGTTTAACAAACTACAATTCAAAAATCAAGCTACTGTCTGAGTTTATAACCAACAAAAATTTTTAAAAAATTTATTTCTGAAATTTTCTTTTTTAAA